CATAGTGAGCGCAGGCCCCAGCCATAGTGAGCGCAGGCCCCAGCCATAGTGAGCGCAGGCCCCAGCCATAGTGAGCGCAGGCCCCAGCCATAGTGAGCGCAGGCCCCAGCCATAGTGAGCGCAGGCCCCAGCCATAGTGAGCGCAGGCCCCAGTCATAGTGAGCGCAGGCCCCAGTCATAGTGAGCGCAGGCCCCAGTCATAGTGAGCGCAGGCCCCAGCCATAGTGAGCGCAGGCCCCAGCCGTACCAGTGAGCGCAGGCCCCAGCCGTACCAGTGAGCGCAGGCCCCAGCCGTACCAGTGATCATTGTACACAGCCACAAGGACTAGTCATCCCAGTAATCAGCCCCTGGCACCACACGCTATGAAAAGGGTTTTATTGATTGATCACAGTGGTGGTGATTCCAGGAAACATCCCCCATTACTAGTGACCAAGTACTAGTATTTCTAGGAGCCATTCCTGAGGCCTAGTGATCAAGGTAAACAGTCCCTGGTACTAGGGATACCGTGATATACAGTTCAAGTCCTGGCGATCACAGTGAAGGCCAAGACTCCAATTCCAGTGTTCACTACCCAGTCCCAGTGCTCCCAGTACATACTGCCCACTCCCAGTGCCCCTAGTAAGCACTGCTCCATCCCAGTCCGAGCACTCCTAGGACACAGTGCCCTCTGCCAGTGTCCCCAGTACATACTGCCCATTCCCAGTGTCCCCAGTACATACTGCCCATTCCCAGTGTCCCCAGTACATACTGCCCATTCCCAGCGTCCCCAGTACAAACTACTGGCCTCTCCTAGGGCCTGCAGTACAAACAAGCTTCTCCCAGCACCCCCAGTACATACTGCCCACTCCTAGCGCCCCTGACTGCCAGCACCCCCAGTACATACTGCCCACTCCTAGCGCCCCCAGTACATACTCGTGACTACCAGCACCCCCAGTACATTCCATCCATTTCCAGTGCCCCCAGTACATACTGCCCACTCCCAGCGCCCCCTGTACATACCATCCATTCACAGCACCCCAGTACATACCCCCGAGTGCCAGCACCCCTAGTGTCCCCTGTACATACTACCCACTCACAGTATACACTGCCATGTCCCACAGCTTCCAGTATACACTGCCTAATCCCAGTATACACTGCCCAGTCCCTATGCTCCCAGTATACACTGCCCAGTCCAGGTGCTCTCAGTTTACACTGCCCAGTCCAGGTGCTTCCAGTATACAATGCCCAGGCCCAGTGCTGCCAGTAGTATAAAATGCCCAGGCCCAGTGCTCCAAGTATACAATGCCCAGTCCCAGTGTACACTGCCCAATCCTAGTTTTCCCAATATACAATGCCCAGTCCCAGTATACAATGCCCAGTCCTCCCATCATACAATGCCAAGTCCCAGTGCTCCCAGTATACAATGCCCAGTCCTAGTGCTCCCAGTACACAATGCCCAGTCCTCCCAGTATACAATGCCCAGTCCCAGTGCTCCCAGCGGGCCCCGCAGCCCCCAGTACACCCGGCAGAGGCTGGGGACGGCAGTGGGGTGAGGCTGGCACAGCAGGAAGCGGGTACTGAGCTCTCGCTCCGCCGCTCCCGGGGATCCCCCGCACAAAAGGAGACCGTCCCTCCCCGCTCCTGCGGCCTTACCTAGGGCGCACTGGGCGGCGGGGCCCCGGACCAGGCTCTGGAGGGCTCCCCGGAGAACAGCACTGAAGGCTTTGGGGCCAAACCGGGCCGGATCCGCTAAGCGGTGCAAACCCCTCTGCCAGTCCTCCGACAGATCCATTGTGAGCGGCGGCGACCTTCCACCCCGCACCACGTGACCAGACCAGCTGACAGCCGGGCTGTGACACGACTGGTGTGTGCGCACAGCCTCCATGTCTGTCCCCCGCTTCACTCTCTATGTGCTATAACACCACTGGTGTGTGCACACAGCCTCCATTTCTGTCCTCCGCTTCACTCTCTCCGAACTGTGATAGGACCAGTGTGTGCACACAGCTTCCACGTCTGTCCCCCGCTTCACTCTCTATGGGCTGTAACACCACTGGTGTGTGCACACAGCCTCCATATCTGTCCTCCGCTTCACTCTCTATGGGCTGTAACACCACTGGTGTGTGCACACAGCCTCCATATCTGTCCTCCGCTTCACTCTCTATGGGCTGTAACACCACTGGTGTGTGCACACAGCCTCCATATCTGTCCTCCGCTTCACTCTCTATGAGCTGTAACACCACCGGTGTGTGCACACAGCCTCCATATCTGTCCCCTGCTTCACTCTCTATCGGCTGTGACACGACTGGTGTTTGCACACAGCCTCCATGTCTGTCCTCCTTTTCCCAAGGGGCCATACGAGAAGCTGGGACTGTTGTGGAGGGCCGGACCTACTGTCCACTACGGTGCGACTTGTGTGTTGTGTTGCCATTCATTTGAATGGGTCCCCAAATGCACCTCCCAGCCGCAGTGCGCTTAACTGTACCTGTGCTGTGCTCAACACAGTACCGCAATGCCGTGCAGCTGAAAAAAGGTTGTGTATGCAATGCAACGCACCTGCCTCACTGTGGACGTGTTGCACGGTACTTGGTTGCTAGGACACCAGCGGCCCTAGCAACCAATGATTGAAGAGGAACTTGGCACAAAGATTTTTGTCACTTGTTGTTAGGACCGCCAGAGGTCCATGTAACCAATGACTGCAGAGGACCCCTGGCGTCATTGGTTGCTAGGACGACAGCGGTCCTAGCAACCAACTACTGAAGAGGAATGTGGCACGGACACGGACCAATCACCAACCTGGTTAAACTACAAATCCCAGAATCCCTCTGTCTCTGGGAATCATGCCTGTGGTTGTCAGAATCTTGCAGTGCCTCCTGGGACTTGTAGTTTCATAACAGCTGGAAGACTGAGGTTGCCCACCCTTGATCTAGGCCCTTGGTTCTCAACTGGTGGGTCGTGACCCAAAAGGGGGTCTGTGACCCCATGTTCAGTGGGTCGCCACATGCCTTCCACTTTTCTAGTTTCTTATTTCCATTTCTCGTAAGGTAGGAACGCTGGGTGCATCTTAAAAAAAAAAAACCAAAAAAAATGTTGCCCGCACCAGAATGTTTGGTACCGCAATGCTGTGCGTACCATTGCAGTGCAACTTAGGTCGTGATTGCCCCAGATTTCTGCCTGCGCCAATTTTGATAAATGTCCTCCATTGTCCTTGGCCTGAATACCTCCTGATAGCTCCGCCCCGGATGGTATTATAAAGCCAGCCATACACTGGTAGATTCTCCAACCAATGTTCATACCACACATCTTTATATAACGCTATCAGAGATTTGACAATGCTGTCTGAAATTATATTTGATTTTGGAATGAATGGAGTTTCCCAAAAGAAAACCACATTCAGTGGTAGAATTTCCTTCGCTCAAAAAAACATTTCCATCTTGCTTCCTCCATTTTTTTTGCCACTTTGATAGAAAAAGATGGACGATTGGATCCCATTATAGCTTTATTTTCAATGATGAATCCAGATCAAACAAATATACATCGCCCAGAAAAGTGTTTCATTTTATTTGTGGCCAAACACTTACAGTCATCATGTTTCCGAACAGCTCCAACTCTCTCTGCTCGGCTTCCTTGAACTTCCTGTCCAGTACAAGATGACAAGGGACAGAGCCGTCTCCAACAGCTGATCATCCACTAGCTTGGAGTAGGGAAAAGTGTGGAGCAGGGAAGTGGCTTGTCTTGCTGTGTCTGTGTATTTGTGCAGGCACACACAGCTTACTAGCACACACAAGAGTGGCTCCATAGGACCCTGCAAGGGAACGGAGCCACCCTACAACATGATATCAGTGCCAGTGCTCAGGAGACCAGCTGATTCTGCAGGAAATCAAAACTTTTAAACATGAAGCAGCAGCGTCCATTGTAAGTGATTTCATCAACATCTGGGATAGCTTTTTTTTTATTGTTTTCTACTTTAACTGCTTGAAGACCAGGTGTTTAGATCCCCTACCTGGCCAGGCCATTTTTCAGTGTTCAGCGCTGCAGTACTTTGACTGACATTTATTCCGTCACGCAACGCTGTACTGAAATGAATTTTATACCATTTTTTGGGGACAGATAGAGCTTTATTTTGGTGGTATTTAATCACCACTGCGGGTTTTATTTTTTACTATATTCAGGAGAAATTACTGAAGATTTTGAGAAAAAAAAGTTTTTTTTTACATTATGCTATAAAACAACTAATATTACCCACTTATTTGGTAAAATATAAAAGACGGGGTCACGTCGGGTAAATAGACACCAAACATGTCAAGCGTAAAAATTGCGCGCACTCGCAAAATCGCAAAAAACTAGCATACCCAAAATTGGCCATAGGCGACGCTTTAAAAGCTTTTACCGCTCATCAGTTTAGTGTTATCAGTGATTGATGGCCCTAGAA